GTTTTGAAAATGTGCATTCTCCAGGCGGTATATTACAGGAAATTGTTAAAATAATGTAATGTACACAATTTGTATGTATCTATGAATAGTTTTGGACATGGTAAAAACAGAGAGCTACGCAAAGTACTTGCAACAACTGGTATGACATTGGGCTGAAGTGGCCTGCATTTGGTTTTTGCAGATTAAAAACGAAAAAAAATTATTTTCTCAGATTCAGATGCAGATCCCGCTGAAAATAAGTTATTCGGACAAACTGAACAAACTAGAAAAGCAGTATGAAAGGCTACTGGTAAGTGATCCCTGAGCTCAATAGTCTTTATCTGAAATATGTGCTGCTGTAAATGCTAAACGTTATTTATGTACTCTTTTTAGAACAATTCCAGAGAGCGACAGAGCCACCTGGAGAGCCTGCAAGACTTTGTGTCGAAGGCGACCCAGGAGCTGATCTGGCTGAATGAGAAGGAGGAGGAGGAAGTAGCCTTTGACTGGAGTGATCGCAACGGCAGCATCTCCAAGAAAAGAGACTACCATGCTGTAAGTATTTCCTGTTTAATAAACAGTCTTCTAAAGTGTCATCTTCAACGCAGATGGAACAGCAAGGGTTTAGATACATATGGTGGGATTACAGGTGCATTCATTTGATACAACTATAATCCCAGTGGAGGGATTTGTGTACTGTGTCCTTAATGATTACATTCAGCTCTGTTAGACAGGATGTGGGATTGTGTGAGAGGATGGAGTGACTGGGTCTTCGCCACAACTGTATGCCAGAGATACTCAGCCTAATGTCTTTTTACAGGACCTGATGAGGGAGCTGGATGAAAAGGAGGAAGTGATCAAGTCTGTGCAGGACAAGGCAGAACGCCTTATGCTCAAGAACCACCCAGCCAGGCCGACTATTGAAGTAAGCCCCGTGTGTTTTTTTTCTTTTGCACACTCATTTCTGCAGGCAGTAGTTGCGTGCCGCCCTGCATACTGCTCCCACAATCATTCAAATAATTGTGATGTCTTTAAGTGTTATCATTTTCAGCTATTACTCCTGGTAATTGTGTCTTAATTCTGGGATGTCTCTCTTTAAGGCGTACAGGGCTGCCATGCAGACTCAGTGGAGTTGGATCTTACAGCTCTGCTCATGTGTAGAACAGCATCTCAAGGAGAACGCTGTTTATTTCGAGGTGAGCTGCTGCGTGGTATAGCCAATGAAGCAAAGTGTATTTGTTTGTCTCATCTAATTTATTTCTTTCTCTCATCGTCCTTCTTTCAACCCATACAGTTTTTCAGTGACGCCAAAGAGTCCATGGACTACCTAAAGAGCCTGCAGGAGGCCATTCAGAGAAAATACAGCTGTGATCAAACAAGCAGCTTACACAGACTGGAGGATCTCATTCAGGAGTCCATGGTATACTTATAGAAAGAAGAATGAAGTGTGTGTGCATTTTGAGAATGAGCGAAAAATACCTTATTTCTTTGGTATGGTGTTTTTCTAGGATGAGAAAGAGCAGCTTCTTCAGTACCGCAGCACTGTCGCTGGGTTGGTGGGCAGGGCCAAGAATATCGTGCAGCTCAGGCCCAGGAACCCAGAGAGCCCCGTGAGATCCTCCATCCCTGTGAAGGCCATCTGTGATTATCGTCAGATAGAGGTATACAGATGTCCTCTTACTTATGACACACTTCATTCCCTTTACTTGTCATTCTTATCATGAATCCATGGTGTTTCTTTATCACAACTCTTTCAGATTACCATTTATAAAGACGACGAGTGTGTGTTGGCCAGTAACTCTCACAGAGCCAAGTGGAAAGTCATCAACCCCGCAGGGAACGAGGCCATGGTGCCCTCCGTCTGCTTCACCGTGCCTCCGCCCAACAAAGAGGCTGTTGACATGGCAACCAGGTGAGATGCTAGGCTTAATTTTGTGTCCTGTTCATCTAAATAAAGTTATTCTTGAGTTCAGGTGACTGTTAATGAATGCATAAGCTCTTGTTACTGGACTTTGGTGGCTTACATTTTGTATTCCTCTGGCTTTTTCCTGCAGAACGGAGCAGTTATACCAGAATGTGCTGGCATTGTGGTCCCACTCACACATCAACATGAAGAGTGTGGTATCTTGGTATTATCTAATGGCTGATGTACGAGCCATCCGCAACTGGAATGTGGCCTCAGTATGTTCAAATTATAACATTTTCCTTTTAAAACTCATCATACTTAATTTTGATGTTAATTGTAGAAAAGATGCACATACATGTTAGTCTTATTTCCACATCATTTCTCCACAGATAAAGACCATGTTACAGGGTGAGCATCAGCAGGTTTTGAGCAACCTGCAGTCCCACTTCGACGAGTTCCTGGAAGACAGCGAGGAGTCCGAGGTCTTTACTGTGGCAGACTGTTCCCAGCTAGAGAGAGACGTTGCCGCCTGCAAGGAATACTACCAGGAATTACTCAGATCAGCAGAAAGAGGCAAGGCTCACACTTCCCTTTTGTCCTGCCCAACAAGGAGCCGCTGGTGCACATTGAACACGCGAGGGAAACTCATGGCTCTTTAAGCCCATTAAGCCTTAAGTTAATGCCTTTTTGGAATGATGTTTTTACAGAGTTAAAAAGAGAGGTTGGCTTTGCTGTAAATTAAAAGCAAACGCTATGATGTGTAGTTCTGAAAAAAATACAAAATATTTTGTTTTGATTTTTATAAAATAAACTATATGTGTATATAAAGGCAATTGTTCCCTTTTTTAAAGAAAGAGTTTTAATCTTATGAACAAAATTGTTCTAATGTATGTGTGACTTCACTTCACACTAGCAGTGTCAGCTATTTAGTTGCAACAGGCCTTACTCTGCCTTTTATTGGGATAATGATGCCACCTAGTGGTGATTATGTGTGCTTTCAGTTACTGTGTATGAGATTTAATGGAGGTTTAAGAATATATATATTTTTATTATGTGGTATTGCCATAGACTGTATTGCCCAGAAATGTGTTGCCTTCAAATGGAAGCAATTGTTCAGCTTTTTTTTTTTTAAATGTATTTTTTTAATTTCTTTAAATAAGAAACAGAATTGGCCTTTCATATCTTCATACCTAAAAATATGAATGTTAACATATTTAATATTTTTGTGATTATTTTTTCTATTTTTTGTAAACAGAGGAACACGAGGAGTCGGTGTACAATCATTACATCTCAGAAATACGCAACTTCCGGATGCATCTGGAGGCCCACGAGGAACACTTGATCAGGCAGCTCCGCACCCCGCTGGAGAGAGACGACCTCGAACAGAGCCTGCAGCGCATCACAGAACATGAGGTACAAATGTGGTTATCAATAATCATTTCATTTATTCAAGACCTTATGTGTCATGTTATCTTAATCCTTATTGTTTGTCATGCTACTCTGCAGCAAAAGACAGCGGAGATGAACCGAATGAAGGAGGACTTTGACGTTATGAAGGAGAAGTGTGAGCTGTTCCTCAGACAGGCTGCAGGTTTTCCTTCTGTTCCAACACTTTCCTCTGAACTCACCGTCCTCATTCAGAGCATGAGCCAAGTGTACTCTATGTCTTCCATCTATATGGACAAGTAGGTGGCCATTTTAAGAAGTAAACATTGGGCGTTTGGATAATTGTACAATTCATATTATTTGCATTAAAAGTACCTACATTGAAGGCCCTTTCTCTTTTGTGTTACAGACTGAAAACAGTGAGCTTAGTGGTGAGGCACAGCCAGAGTGCAGAGGCTCTTGTTAAGTCCTTTGAATCCAAACTCTATGAGGAAGACGCTATGAACTCTGACGTCAAATCCATCGAGACAGTCATTTCAACACTAAAGGTAATACACTGTTGAACCGAACGCATCACTAACATTAGCATCGTTCGTAGTTCCTTTTTTAGTGACCACTTGTCCTTATCATTCTAGCAATGGCGGTCAGAGATTGATGAAAAGCAGGAAGTGTTCCATGATATGGAGGATGAGCTGCAGAAAGCACGAGTCATCAGTGACCGCATGTTCAAAGCACACAACGAGCGGGACTTTGACTTTGACTGGCACAAGGAGAAAGCTGATCAGCTGAGCGAGAGATGGCAGAACATTCACTCCCAGATTGATAGCAGGTCAGTGTTACATTTAGGATTTATTTTATATTATGAGAGGTAACAAACAACATTATATATAAGTGTTTGTACTGCTCATTGATGCTATATGTACATGTTTAGGCTTCGGGACCTGGATGGTATCGGCAAGTCTCTGAAACACTACAGAGACTCTCACAGTAGTCTGGATGAATGGGTTAGAGAAATGGAAGCAGAACAACTCCATGCCCAAGAAAACAAACCTGAAGATAGCAAGGCACTGGCTGAGCTGTTAAACAAACAGAAGGTAAGACAACAGTTCACTTAACTGTTAAGGTAAAGACATGTATACTTTATATGGCAGTATAAATAAAAGTCTTTGTTTTCAGGTCCTTGTTGCTGAAATTGAACAAAAACAGGGCAGAATTGACGAGTGTCAGAAGTACTCAGAGCAGTACTCCTCTTCCATTAAGGTAAGCTAATTTATCTTTAAAAAAGTGTGTGGTTTCTTTTATAGATGAAAATAGCAGAGTTTTGGCAGCGGTCAAGATATGATCTAAACTGAACATTGTTGTAGATGTGAAGGAAACAACCTTGTAAACGTATACACATATATATATACATTTCTTTTTAGGATTATGAACTTCAGCTGATGACGTTCAGAGCGATGGTCGACTCCCAACATAAGTCTCCTCTCAAGAAACGGAAGATGCAGAGCTGTGCGGATGCCATTCAACAGGAGGTATGTAAATCTAGGATTTCACTTGGATAGGATATAATTGAATGTTCTTTGTTGAGTTCATCTCAGTCAAACACTTGTTTTTCCTAAATTCACAGTTTATGGACCTCAGAACCCGCTACACTGCTCTTGTGACTCTCATGACACAGTATGTGAAGTTTGCCAGTGAAACATTGAAGAGAACTGAAGACGAAGAGGTGAGAATTTCATATTTTCTATACTTCCCTGCTTTTTACATTTACAGGAGCTTTTGCAGCATATTTTTGACTTTCGGGGCTATATGGACGCTTAAACTTAAAAGTCCTGTTTCCTTCTTATCTTGGCATGGTTTCTAGGTCTTTTGTTTCGCATCAACATATTTCACTGCCTCACTAAGATGTATTGAATCATGAAAGAATGCACTAAACTCTGTATCCCCCTTGAGTTCTTGACTTCCTGCGAGGGTTGTTTCTATTTTCATAGATTTCCAGCTCATCACAAGTGAAAACATATTCTTCATAGCTCAATAGAAGCAAGGGAATTGCGCAGATGCGGTGCATGTCTGCATGTATGGTATCTCTTTATTGCTGGTGACCTGCTGGGAAAAGTGAGCTTTCTTTATTCTTTCACACAGAGAAAGATGTCCTTTCTGTGGAAAAATAAATTCTCTCCAGGAATGTTTATGGAAAAAGTGGTAATACTGCCAAAGGTGCAGTGAGGAAATTAGTAACAAGTGCCATCAATTAAACTCTAAAAAATCTTATTGCACATTTACATTTTTAACCCTCCTCAATATTTCTGTTAAATTACAAAGTCACGCAGTCTTGATTTTGTAAATTCCTGGAGAGATTGACTTATATGCCTGCAGCACTCTGGTGAGAAATAAAGTATTCATGCATATTATTCTACAATTTCTAATAAAACATAACACAGTGGATGACGTATTGTTTTGCTTTATAGAGCAGAAAGGCTTTTGAGAGAACAGAGAATGCACAAAGGACAGAGAGTGTGGAGCTCCAAAAAACTGCAGGGGAAATAGAGAATAGCCAACTTAAGGAACGGGTTCAGGAACAGGAGGCTCTGCTGGCTGCAAGACGAGCACAGCTGGAAACGTTGGAAGGAAAAGTAGAGACGCAACAGAAGACAATTGATGATCTGACTTTTCAGAAATCAAAGCTTGAGCATGACGTTAATCAGTATTGCACCAAGTTAGAAATATCGGTAAAAGACAAAGCTGCCAGTGAGATGGAGTTAAGTCACACACAACTGTTAATCCAGCAGTCAGAGGCCAAGTGGTCTTTAGCTCAACAGAAAGTAGAGGACCTCCTAAAGAAAATTAATGATGAACAAGATCTTAAGCAACAAAGCCCTAAACCTAAGAGAAGAATACACTTGGAGGAAAGTACTGAGGAACGGGTGCAAAGTCAAGTCACGGCTAAAGCAAATAATCTGGCTCAGCAGCCTTTGGCATCTGACACCGAGTCGACAGTCAACAGTGAGCTTGAGTTATCTGCAGTCAGAGAAAACAACAGCAGGATGGCGGCTGTCCTGCAGCAGAAAGAAGAGGAACTTGTCCTGATCCAGAAAAGAGCAGAAGTGGCTGAGGAGAAAGCACAAAGTTATAAAAAGCTGTTGAATGATAGCAACAACAGACTGAGGATGCTTCAGATGGACATGGAAACTGAGAGGAACAACATGAGACAGAAATCAGAGGATCTCCAACAGGAAGCAATGAACATGAGGAAATCAATCAACGAGCTTCAAGAAGAAATCAGATCTCTCCAGAGAACTAAGTCCTCATTGGAACAAAGTTCGTTTTTCCAAAGCACTGAAATTGAAGGCCTGAAAGAGCAATTGAAGAGCACCCAAGGAGATATGCTTAAGAAAAGCTCCTTGGAGCAGGAAAATATCCACAAGATTAACAACTTAGAAGAAGAGGTAGCTTCCACGCAGGCAGTCGTAGATCAGATGAATTTTAAATGCAACGAGCTAACAAGGATAAATGTCTCATCTGAGAGTGATGTTAAAGGTCTCCAGATCCAAACAGAGTCATTGGAGAAAGATAGATCATTTGCTTATCAAAAAGTAAAGTCTTTAAAGAGAGAGATAGAGAGCTGGAAACAGCAGCTTCAAACAGCTGAGGAAGAATACAACTTAGTGAAGAGGTCTGAGCAGGCGTCACAACTCAAATGTAAACACCTCCAAGCAGAACTTGAGAAAAGTGAGTTAGTTGCATCTCAATTGCAGAAAAGCGTAGATGAGTTAAAACAGATACATATGGAGATGGAAAAGAATCAGAAGAATGTAACAGCTCAACTCGATCAGGTGACAATGGAGATTGACAGCAAGGATCAGCAAATTAAAATCTTCAAGTCTCAGGCCGAGGGCACAAAATCACAGGTTAAAATTATTGAGGATGAACTTAGTAAAAAATCTCAGAACTCCTTTGAGCTTCAAATGAAACTGCAGGATTACAGTGAGGAGGTAAGGAGAATGACGGAACTGCAGCAGAAAATCCAAACACTGAATTTAAAAATAGGCAATTGTGAGAACGAAATATCAACTCTGAAATCAGAACTTCAGTCAGTGTTGGCTGAGAAGAACTCTGCAAATCAAAAGATCCACATGTACAATTCTGAAATTAATGATTTGAACACGCTGCTTAAGAAAAGAAATACAGAACTCCAAAGAGAATCCGAAGAGAGTCAAAAACATCAGAATAAGATTAAGGCATTAGAAGATGAGCTTTACAAAAATAAGCACAGTATTACAGGGTTAACCAGCAGCTCAGAGGAAATGAGAGAAAACCTAAAGCAGGAGATGAATGCGATTCATAACGACAAGCGAGCAGCAGACAGAAACGTAGAGAACTTAAACGTCAAAATCTCAGAGCTCAGTTCTTCCGTACAGAGAACTAAAGATGAATTGTTGAAAGAGACCAGAGAAAGAAAAGACAAAGATTCAAAAATATTGCAGATGGAGTCTGAGCTTCAGAAATATAAAGAAACAATAAAAGAAGTAACGTCCAGTTCTGACAAATCCAGATCAAATCTTCAACATGAAAATACCATCCTTAAAAGGGAGAAAGCTGAGTCGTTCGAGAAAAGTATCTCATTGGGAACTGAAGTCAGATTGCTGAAAGAAAATCTAAAACGTGCCCAAAAAGAAGCTGAACAAAAGCAAAATGAAAGCTCTGTCCTTAAGCTGAAGTCACAGCAGATGGAAGAACAGCTCGAGAAGTGCACGGAAATGCTAGAGGAGTTGAAAAGTAAACTAGAGCTTCAGAAAGAGGGCTATGAGAGGCAGTTGTTGCTAGTGCAGACTGAAGTAGAGAAAAAACTCATTTTACTTCAATCTGAAATCTCAAGTCAAAGTGGAAATTCAAACCAGCAGTCACATAGTGCAGAATTAGCAGAAATGCTTAACAAGTATTTCAGACAAGATGTCAAACAGATAAAAACAGTTCATCAAACCACCGTGGAAACAAAGCACCAATCAGACAAACTGCTGCAAATGCAGATCAAAATGGACCAACTGCAACAGGAAAGATGGAAACTCGAACATGAGCTCTTAAAGGCAACATTACAAACTTCCCAACTTGAGGAAGACCAATTTAAACTCAACTCAAAAGTAAGTGCTTTACAAGGCCTTTGCAATGAAAAGTCAAGTGAGTCAGCTAAGGGTACAGACAGTACACTGACACTGAAGGAAAATGAAGCTCTTCGGGATCAAATCGAGTCGTACGCCAAAGAGGTTAAACATCTTCAGGAAAAGCTTTTGATGCTTGAGGTCAGGATAATAACTGAAAACCAGGGGATGAACAAACAGGAATTCTTTGAAACCAGTCGTCACAATGTGTGGGACAACAATGCTACATCAGTGAAGACAGAACAGACAGCGATGCAGAAGATGGTGCCCTCGTATGAAAGTGCTAAATACAACATGGAGGACGAGAGTCGCAAAATCAAAGTGTCCGCAGAGGTATGGATGAAGTTCCACATTACTTTAGCACTGTATTATATTTATAAGAAAAAAACATGTTTAAACGTTTCAAAGTTTTACTAATTGTATATCTTTGTAACTGAAACATTCTTTCAATGTCACATCTACAGATGGCAACAATGGAGAAAGGCAATATTCTTGAAGGACCGAAACAAGATAAAATGGAAATAACTCACAGCCAGAGCATTCATGAATCACTGACAAAGCAATCCTTAAATATCTCTACTGCTCAAAATCCCAGTACCATCCAAGAAGACATACAACATGTGACATACAAGGGCCAAATAAAACCTGATGAGCCCATGACTGTAACAACACATGGATACATGGCGTTGTGTGGACTAACAGACAGACGTCCCAATGTAACACAAAGCATCACTAAGACCAAGACCTATCAGATTAAACAAACATGTGAAACTGTAAACACATCAGACATTGAGGGAAAACAAAGTTTGATATATTCAACTTCCCAAAAGCTCCCAGAACTCAAAGGCTACACAAGTATTCAAAACATGATCAAGTTTAAACTCCTGGACGAAGAGGTTTTGAGGAAGTTCGAGGTGGGCCTCATCACAATGGAAGAGCTGCAGGCATCGTTTGCTCAATACGCCGGCAAACCAACTACTATTGCTGGAATATATGTGGAGTCAAGTAAGAAAAAGATATCCTTCCTTGAAGCTGCTGAGAAAGGTTTTTTGGCGAAGACGTACGCTCTTGAGTTCCTGGAGGCTCAGGCTGCAACAGGAAGCCTTACAGATCTGTCCACAGGGCAAACCTATCCAGTTGCTGAGGCTGTTGAGAGAGGTATTATAGAGGCGGGCCTGAAAGATAAACTGATAGAAGCTCAGAAAGCTATTAGTGGCTACATCCATGATGGCAAAAAGCTGTCCGTGTTTCAGGCAATGGAGAAAAGGATTCTCGATAGATACAAAGGCAAGAAGATTCTTGAGGTCCAGGTAGCCACTGGTGGCCTGATCAACCCAGAGATTGGTGTCAGGGTGCCGGCTAGCATTGCTGTCGATCGGGGTCTTTTGAACAAGGAGACCCTACAGAGTCTGTACGATCCAGTCAGTAACCCCAAAGGTTTCCATAACCCTGACAGTGGACAGAAAGCATACTACTCTGAAATACTGAAGACATGCCTTTATGACATAGATGGTGGGGTATTTCTCTCCCCATTTGGTGAGAAACATCTAACAAACACCTCTCCCACGAGTTCTCACAGAGTGTCTGTTGTCAGCAGCAGCTCTGGCATCGAAATGTCAGCGTATGAAGCATTCAAGGGGCGACACATTGACAAGAGGACGTATCTGTTCCTGTCACAGCAAGAGAGCGAATGGCAGGAAAAGTCTGTACTAGACTCCAACGGAAGCCCCCTTCACATCATTACTGATGTGAAAAGTGGTCGACAACTTTGTCTGGAGTACGCTCTGAGTCAGAGGCTTCTTGAAAGATCTGAGCTTGGAAGCTATCACAGTGGGCTTCTTAGCATCTATGAGATTGCCGACATCATTGTTTCAAGAATGGTGATTGTGGAAGATGTCAAGAGCCCCGTTGCCGGTCTCTGGGACGTCACCCAGAGGAAAAGGCTGTCGGTTCTTCAAGGTTTTCAACAGGGCTTTACTGATAGAGCCACTGCCTCCAGGCTGTTGGAGGCCCAGGCCTGCACTGGAGGGATTTGCGACCCCTCTTCAGGGGAGAAAGTTACCCTCTCGGAGGCTCTCAAAAGAGGTCTTTTAGACGAGGCTTTGAATCAGCAGCTCCAACAGTTTGAGCAGGCATTTAATGGGATCATTCACCCCAAGACTTCAAAGACTTTGTCCATCACCCAGGCTGTTCAGGAAAATGTCATCCCGAAGGATGCAGGTTTCCGCTGTATTGAGTTCCAGCTCCTGACTGGAGGATTAATAAACCCTGAGACACATGACAGAGTCTCCCTCGAGGAAGTCATTCAGAGCGGCCTTGTTGACAAAGTGAATGCCTCAGTACTCAAAGAAGAGAGGTTCCAGACCAAAAGCCTCACCTGTCCGAAGACCAAGAGAAGAATCACTTTCAGGGAGGCTCTTGAGAGAAGTGTGTTCGACTGCCACACTGGGCTAAGGTTACTGGAGGCTACCAAAATTCATGGTTATGGAGCCAAGGCAACATTTCATTATGTTTGCGCCTACAAGTAATAACCACCTGTAAATAAATGCTTGTCCATAGCATAAAAGCCAAAGCTGTAAATAGATCTCTTTTGGTTTTGTGTTGGCTTTAAAGTTACTCCGACCTTTTTTTGGGGTTTGAACACATGTTTTAATATAGTGGTTGATATAGTGGTTGATGCAACTAACCGCGTTCTCAATTGTTTTAACTGATTATAAATGTATTTTGGCAATGTCCCCCTTCCTTTTAGGATTCCCTCCTCCACTGTTTTCTTTCTTTGTAACAAAGTTAACACTCTTCAAAACCCCATCTGTTTTAATTGTAGAGATCTGTTGATGAGGAGAACAGAGAGCATGGTGATAAAGTTAGCAAACTGTTGCACTGGATGTCCAATGTGAAACAGACCACGAACAATGATGGGAATGCTCTGAAAGATAGCAATGCCAACACAGATGCTTCTAATAAGCCCCAGGTAAATAATGTGTATTGTATTTTGGTGTTTTCTGGTGTGTCCTGTTTTGATATCTTGCCCCATATTTGTTGTACATGTCAGAATGCTTTGGAAAGTGACAAGTATTTTTCTAATCAAAATGATATTGCAGCCTTTTAGCTGTCACAGTGTATGATTTATAATAAAATAAAAACAGTGTTTACTTAACGATTCATGTAATCCATGTATTTTACACTATAGTAGGCGTAAATACTTTAGCGTATCCCCTGTACACAAAAGGATGGTCAATAATGAGGTTTTCACAATCGTTCAATAACACCAAAAGTTGCACAAGCACTCACTTTTCAGAACAACCTCACTGACTAACTGTTATTTAGGCCCAACAGGTGTTTATCATATGAACATTAGGTTCATATATATTATTTTGGCCTTATGTGTCCAAGAAACATTCATTTGATATGTCCCAAAGCGTGTGTGTGCTGGAGATCAAGATAGCATTGTCATTATAACATAATTGTTCTGAGAAAGATTTGGGGGATCCTGAAATGATAGGTATTCTTAGATGGTTTGGTACTAAATGAATAATAATAATAATAATAAATTGTATTTGTAAAGCACCTTTTATTGCTTTCATTGCATAAAAGGCTTTTTTTTAAATAAATTGTTTTAGGCCCTTCTTAAAGGTGTCAGTGGTCTGTGGAGTTTTAATAATTGTATTTAATGGAATAACTAGTACTATAGTAAACTATATTGCAGAAAAAACTGAAGGCACTGACTTGTATAATAATAATGACAATAACAACAATAATAATAATCATAAAAGACACAAAGACAAAAAAGGGTGCATAGAGTATTTTGGTAGATATATTTCTCAGTTCAGATCAGGGTATGCAATTAAGCCAAACTTTGTACATTAGTTTTTTTCATTGCATACAGATATTTTCTTTTTATATTTTATTGTCATCAGATATTTTCTTTTCTTTTGGTTGTTAATATTGCAACAACAAATAAAGTACAATTTAGTATTATAAAGAATGATAATTATGTGTGATACGTATTACTACCGGTAATTAGTATTTATTTTGATTTGAATACACGGAAAAATACGTCAGTATGTTATATTCAATGAACAATAATTTTTCTGATTCAATTTTAGTTTAATCATTTAGTTTAATTATTATTTACATTTTCTTATACATTATGCACACACAAATACAAAAAACAATTCCAACAGTGTAATAATGACAGCTTGGGCCTTTTTCCTTTTGAGAATATAAAACCCTCTCAAAGTATTTCTGAAATGTGTAATGCAGAGAAAATGATGCAAAATGCAATCAAATCCAACAATCCAACAAATGACACCTTCAAAAATGACTTTAGAGCTATCATCATCTTTAGTTATATCAACTAACATTTTTGATGCTTTGATTTTCTATTGGTTTGCATTATTTTGGATTATTTATTTGAAATATAGTCACAAGAGTGTACTTTTAGGAAATAACATATTTTATATAAATAAGTCAATTGTAAAACATTAAGCAGTTCTCTTGAAAATTGCAGTTCAAGAGAATGTGTTCGGTTGGGGTTTTTGTTGTGTCCCTGTTAACTATGATTATATAAGTTACTACATTATTGCACGATTAATATTCAAAGAGTAGTCATAGAAAAGTTATATTTAGTAATATATCACTGTTTGATGTTTGTCAGGTGTCAGTTGAGGAGATGGTCACTAAGAAGGAACAAATTGCAGAGGCATTGAGGGCCACGCAAATGATGCTGAACAAACACAGTGACAAGTAAGTGTAGCTACTGTGAGTGACCTGCACAATATTTCTTTCACTGCTTAAATCCTCAGCCTCATTCTTTGTGTTTCATTTGACAGAATGAGCGAGGACGAAAGAGAAAAGGCCCAGGAGCAGCTGAAGGCGCTCAATCAGGCCTACAGTGAACTCTCCCAGCATTGTTCAGATCAGACAACAACTGCAGAAGAGGTTTGATAAAACGCTGTTACATCTATCAGTGATTTGTGTCTTATAATGTGTTAGAAAACACACCACCTGACGTTCAACTGCATGACTAACAATTTCCTCTTCTCCTACAGTGTGTGCAGTTTGCATCCCCCTTTGTATTATATTACATTAGTGGACAAAAACATAGTTCAGTTGTAGCCCACAAAATCTGAGTATGCTGTAAACATGCTTAGTCGCGCCCGGCTTTGGTCTGACATGTCTCTGTTATTAATGTGCTTGACTTCAACAGATATGACACTTAACCCTTTCTTCACAGTACACTATGTGATGTGACTAACTACCCTCTTTTTGCAAGATGCTGGATACTGCATTACCAGATGCATGATAGCTTTATATGTATTATCCGTCGCTCTCCTGTTGCAACCCTGATGCGGTCTTGCACTTGTGCACATGGTGTTTTAACATGCCCATATTTATCTGGTGGTAAGTAAACATTTCGTCTTGCATTTGACTACTTATTTTCAAATTTCAATGATTGGATACTACAGATTTTGATGCTATAATCAATTCAGTAATTTGTCAAATTTCCATTTTCTTTAGGTTTCAAAATCCAATGTTGCAGGGCTTGGGACAGAACCCATGAGTGGCCTGATCGGTGAAATACCAGGGGCCCAACCTATGACCCCTGACCTCTTTCAGTCTGAAACTCACAATCTCGACTATAAATCCACCCTGAACCACTTTCAACAGTTAAACGAGGATAACAAGTGTGTACAGAGCTCACATGTCCCTTCTGTGTCGCTTTCTGACATTGCAGCAGCCAGGGAAGGGGCGACATGTGAAGACCCGATTATCAAACTGATAGAAGTCAAAGAAGTCAGTGATGGGTTTAATGTGTGCTACTCAGGGGACACGCTGACCCTGGAGAGGGCTTTTCAGGGTGGTGTAATACCTGCTTCCGTCTATGTAGACATTCTTCAGAGGCAAAACACCAGTCAGAATATGGAGGACAGCAGTGAAGATGTGTCACTCCTAGAGCCTTTGCACAAGGTCAACAGACTGATATTAAAGTGCCTTAGCAGTAAAAAATCACTGACATCAGGGAGAGATATTAACACTTTGAGGTTGTTTTGTGATGGTGTAAGTGATCAGGAGATGAGAGAGGATGTTGTGTGTGATAAGTTAAAGGTGGATGCAGCGGTTCAGTGTGATTTGATGAGATCTAGCAGCACTCTCATTGTGCTTGAAAATCAGAAGTACTTTATTGGACTCGTGTTGCCTCCCTCGGGGGAAATCCAAACTGTGACAACATCCTTCCAGTATGATCAACAAATGACCACTGAGGAGTTTACCAGCTCACTGTTGGCTAATCGGGAAAAGATAGCAGCTTTTTACATTCCAGAAATATCTGAGGTGGTGGACATCGCCTCTGCCATACAGAAGGATTTGATTGACACTTACACAGCAGAGATTTTGAAAACTATAGAAATTCCTGATGTGTTACCTGATCACCTTAACGACAAGTTTTCATCTTGGCTCATGTACAGGAAACTCACAGTTGATGGATGCGTTCATGCTGCAGATTGCTTGGAAGTTGATAACATCCCTACACAAACAGAGGCAAAGCAGTTATTCGTCTCCTACCTGTTGTTGAACAGCTACATCGATCCAGAGTCAGGACATAGGGTGTTAATACTCGATAGACAGCTGAGTAAAATGGTTAAAATCTATCTTGAAGATTTGATATTGTTCGAGAACACTGACAAAAATGTAACTTGTCTGAATTTGAATGTAAGAGATCTTTCAGAAAAGGAAGATTTAGAGATACCTCTGCACATAAATGAGGAAACAGAGGAGAAATACACGCTGCACACATTTGATCCTCATCATTCTGTCAATGGAACAATTAGCTTTGAAGAAAAAGCATATCTAAATGACGAGGCTCTAACAGAGGAACATTTATTAGATGATGCTGCTGACATGGACACCACAGTGCTTTGTGTGGTGGAGGAAACCATGTGTCAAAACAACACAAATTGGACACAGGCAGAAGAATTTGAAGATAGAAATCCTGAAAATAGTTTCAAAAATGGAATTGGAGGGGCTGATAGTGAAGGTCTTGATACCCCAACTATTCCAGCCCTTCAAACGTTACACTCTGTGAACAGAACAAATGTCGCCTCCCCATCGAGGATGTTAGACTCCGAGTGTTCAGTGACATCCCACGGACAAACACTTCCATACTACGACGCAGAGTCACTTTGTAGTGAATCAGAAGGTACAGGCATAACCAAAGATGAGTTTTTAAGCTCCGAGGACTTGTTGGATGATGAAAATGAGCAAGACTATGCTATTCATGTTCTGAAAGGGCAAATGAAGGAGGGAGGCATTTTAGATGTAAACTTAGGGAGCCGTTATGACCTGGAGGCGGTATTACTTGGAATACAATCAGAGGATAACGAAAGTGCTGTAGAAGATGAGGAGGACACTTTATCTGTTTTAAAACAGCCTGTGTATGATGAATCCACATCCTCAAATATCCATTTAATGGAACAGCAGAGCCTATTAAGGGCTGGTTGCACCATTAGTATCAGTGAGTCAGTGGAGTCTGGATTATTTGTAGCTGATTTAAACCCTGATGCCAGCATTTATCCACAGGAACACTGCACTACCTCTATCCCTGATGATCATTGTCTGCATGTTATTAATAATAATGAAGCTGAAAACACACAGACTGAGAGGAGAGTTGCTGTCATGGTGCTTGATCTCATCCAAGAGGAAGGTGATAAAGAGAAGGAAAGTGGAAATGCAGATTCAGAGGTGGATTGGGAGAAAACAGGAAGTGTAGGAGAGATGAGTGATTATCCGCATCATTCCCCTCCCTCAGTTGG